GATGACAGACTTGACATCAATGATTGATTAAAAGCTGGAGCATGAACTGGATCAACAACACCTGGAAAAGGGTTAGCTGTAATAGGTTCTGGACGGTCTGTTACATATGAAGACAAAAACTCATTATCAGAAAATATGTTAGGATTAAAGGGTTCAATTCCTGCCACAGCAAATCCTGCGGAATGGTTAGACAAAGTAAAAGCTTGTGCATAGGCTTTCCTTACAACTGAAGCTATATCATATATGGTCATCGGTCTTGGATTAGATACAATCCAATCATCACAGGCTGCATTGTAATAACGTTTCAGTGGGTTATAAACTGACCGATCTAATGGCTGCAACTTGTGACTACAATGTGGTGGAAAGGACAGCATAGTTATGCCATTTTTTTTAGCTAAATCTAAACACACAATTGAAACATGGCTCTCGTGGTTGTCAAGAAGTAAAAGCACTGGATTAGCTGGTGAACATTTCACATTTTAAATAAAATGTTTCATCCACTCTAAAAACGTTGCAACATTCATCCAACCAGATGGGTTTGCAACCCCAACACATCCAGGTGGACCACCATTTATCATACTTCCTTTGAAATGAACTCTTGGAAAAATAAAAAATGGAGGGATTGAGTTTCCTATTGCATTGACTGCACAACAAACTGTTACCAATGTCCCTCTTTCTGCTGAAGTTATCCTTCCAACTTGTTTATCTCCTTTTTTAGCAATTACTTTAACTGGTTTTTGAACAGTTGTGAGACCTGTCTCATCAACATTATATATGTTTTGTGGCTGAAACTTGTGTCGTAGACGAACATCTTTTAGATTGGTGAAAAATTCTCCGACTGTATAACAATTAAAAGCAGTTGCTCGTGCCATACTAGCCATACTGGATTTCTTAAAGATAACTCATTCCTACGTAACATAAAATCACGAAGCCACTGTTTCCCAGCAATTTGTAAACTTTTCCACGATTTAGGAATGCGCTTAGAAAGAATCATTGCAAATTCATAGGCAAGTTTTTGTGTTGTTTTGGTTGATAATCCATAGTGAAGTTTTGAAGCTCTTAAAAGATAATCTGATAAAGATGTTTCTTCTTCGTTGGTAAAAATTTGCATGGTAATGAAGTTAGGTTTGCAGACTGTATATAGATTTAATTGACATTTCCTTACATATCTCTTAAGTGTCATTAAATTGATTCCCCTCTCTTTAGATACACGATAAACTGTACTACCATTAAGAACTGCATTAACAGCTGCTCTCATTTCATTCTCATTAACTTTACCTCTAGGTAGTCTATTGGTTTTTCGTTTTTTATGATACACCATATTTAACTGTAAAAAAATGAAACATATTTATATAGTTTTGCTATATTCCTAATTTTTGGATAAACATTTATAAAGATTTTTACTTACTAAAATCTTCTTTATTAACAAACACACACAGATATATATATATATATATATATATATATATATATATATATATATATATATATATATATATATATATATATATATATATATATATATATATATATATATATATATAAAAGTTTTAGGAGAACAAAAAAATACAAAATAGTATAAAATCTTCATTTTAAGGCTTTATTCTAGAAGAAAAAAATATATTTAAAAACAATATGACGTATTGTACATGTTACTTTAAAAGTTAAACATTTTGTGTGTGTGTGTGTGTATGCACCTTTGATCATAGGATCAAAGGTGCATAAACGCATTAGGATCAAGGGTGCTAACCCGCTCCATTTTTACAAAAATTCTTTTTTGGCCATATTAGATGCTTCTACAGCTTACCAAAAGCAACCATACAATAGGTGAATAGTTAAGTTACAAAATGACATAAGCAAAATTATTCAACTTAAAAAAATATTAAAGATGTGAGGTTCCTTGTTAAAGTAAAAAAAATACTTTTTTTCGTCAAAATCAAACTATTTAGAAATAAATTTAATAGTGGTCTATTCTTTAACCAAAACACAATTAATTTTGAAGATACGATATTTATAACACACTGGTTATCAGCCCTCTTTAATAAGTTATGTAAGTATGGAGATAACGCTATAGGATCAAAGGTACTTACGGATCAAGGGTGCAAGTTCTCCCCTATAGGTGCTATATTCAGAAAACACGAAAAGGAAAAAAAAAGAGAGTATGGCGAACGAGTTCGTGAAGTCGAACATGGCAGCTTGACACCACTAGTGTTTGGTACAAATGGAGGTATGGGTAAAGAATGTCATCGGTTTGTTAGAAGGCTAGCGAAGAAACTAGCGGAAAAACAAAATGAAAAATACTCAGTTGTTATGACATAGTTAAGAACAAAGTTATCTTTTGAGATACTTCGCTCAACTATCCTTTGTTTAAGAGGCTCAAGAACACCCTGGACTAAAAAAAACGATTTTGAAATCGGTGTTGATTTTAAGATGGATGCTTTAGAAGCAAGAATCTGAGCTCTTATAAATTTATATTATAGCATTTTGTTTTACTTGTATATTTATAATAAAGTATTAAAATATAACTAATTTCATTTGTTTGAGTTTGTTATCGGAGATTTATTCATACTTTGTGTGTGTCAGTAGAGATAGAAAATTTGTTGCATTCCTAATAAATTTTTGAAAAGAAGATAATTAGAACTATTATTTTACTAATATTTTTACTAATATTTTTTTGCCAATTTTTTTTACGGCATTCGGATCACTGGGGCAGGAATACCTATGAAAAATGCCCCCTGCATTTTCCTGGTTGAGGGAAAGTAATTAAAAGAAAAACTTGTTTTGAATCCCATCATATATTGTAATAAGGTTTCAAATTTTATCAAAACATATTTTGACGTTCAAAAGATACAGCCACATAAAGTTTAGGACACCCTCATTTTGTGAAGGTTTCAAGTATTTAAAAAAATGGTTTCCGGACCCGTGTTTTACGGGTCCGAAATGCGAGGTTGATAATATTACTTTAATTAAGCTCCTATCCAAGAGGACCTTTTATAACCTAAAGGATTAAAAAACCTATATAACAACCTAAAGGTTTATATGAGGCCATCCATAAAGGACGTCATCCAAAAAGGGGGGTGGGGGGGAGGGGGTCGAGTTAAAAAGGACAAAAAAGGACAAGGGGAGGGGGGGAGGTTGTCAGAAAAGGACGTCACTTTATAGATTTTTTATTTTAGTTTAATCAACATGGAAAACTACGTAAACATGTGTTTTTAAGAAGATAATGTATGAGAATATTTTTAATTTTATTTTTCAAAGGTGTAGCAGCAGATTCAAACATCATTGCGAGATGAATTAAATTTTTTTGGAGTTAAAAATAGGGGGGGGGGGGGTAAAAATTGGCTAAAAAAAGGTGACGTCCTTTATGGATGGCCCCTATAGTGCATTTGCAATAACATTTTTTATTATTTATTGTGTTTCTAGATTACATCTTCAAAAAGTGTCTAGTATACTATACCTGTTTGTCAAAAAACGAATACTTTTCGTAAATGAAAACCAAAAATTTTGGTTCCAGTAGCAATTTTAGCATGCCCATTAGCAAGATACGAAGTATGTAGGTAGTGTGAAAAAAAAACTATTTAATTTTTTAGCACGTCGATAAAAAGTTAAAAGCCAATGACAGTTATTATTTCTTCTAAATTGTTGGTTCCCAGGAAAAAAAAATCAATAGAATTTCTATAAATTTTTAAAACATATAGCCTATAGAAAATTGCTTTAAATTCCTATAGAATGTCTATTAATTTCTATAGAAATTACTATAAAACTTTTTTTTTCTATAGAAAAAAAAGTTCTATAGAAATTTCTATAGAAATTAACTGAGATTCTATAAAAATTCTATAGGCCATGTTTCAAAAGTTTATAGAAAATTCTATAGAAATTTTTTTCCTGGATGTTCCGAAAAATATAGCAACTATACGACTGACTGATTATAATTAGCAGAACTAATTTTGTAATTTACAATTTCAATAAATTTAACGAAACAGGTTAAAAACGTGTTCATTTTTTTATATTACATTTAAATTTTCGTTCATGTTAATTTGATTAACTTTTCAGCTCAACGTTTTTGGATTAACTATGTTTTATTCCGAAGATCAAAGTTTTTTGCTATATCTAAGTTTATTTTATATTATTTCCCATTATTTTAGCTATTATTTAAAAAAAATGATAGAACAAAATTAAATTCATATATAGTAGAAAACATTGTTAGAAAATCTGCTTAATACCAAATTGCCTAATGCCCCAAAAACATCAATAAATAAATAAAAAGTAGTTTCAGCAGTTACCACATGCGCAATTTATTTACGCAAAGTTTTTATTTTGTGGTATAACAAGTGTGGTACCGCTTTACTGAAAACTGATTTTTTATTGGGGTCAGCTTTAAACTAACTCGAAATATCTAAATATAAAAAGTTGTATTTTTGAAAAATTTATTTTTTCGATATTTAATATCGGAACCACCTTAATCTAATAAAAATACCAACTTAACTTTAAAAATCTTTTTTCCGCAGGAGAACGCAATAAACATTTTAATTAGTTTGGCGCCGCGCTTTCTTACAAAAAAAAAAGGACAATGGTAACATATATATTACATATATATTTTTAAATATATAATTTTTCATTAAAAATATATAATTTCCAATATATTACTAGTTTTTAAGATTTCAATTCAAATAACGTAAATTTATGTTATATTGTTTATAATTTTCTAACAACTTAAAAAAAGCATTAACGGATATTTAAATGTTGAAAAAACAAAAAAGTTAATTTAAATAAAACAAAAAAAAAAAAAAAAAACTTGACCATCTTGAAAAGACATCTGTAAATATTTCAAATATTTAAATATAAAATATTTATTAAAAATAACTTTAAATTTTAAAAAATATACTAAAAAAAATAATTCAGTTTTTAACAAATTTACAATAAAAAAAAGGAACATTAATAAGGGAACGAAAATTTGAATAAAACCGATCTATAGCTAAACATAACTTTTTTAGTCACTTTTTTTAAGAAAATTTTGCTAACTGATAATAATTTTTTAAGCATCTGATTGCAAAATAGAACAAACCTCAAGCACAAAAATCAAGTTTAAACTAGATCATACGATTAACTACTTAAAGATGGACGTGTATATTTGAAAATGACATCAAACAATTTACCGCCTAATCTTTCTGCTAGCCAAGGATTTTTTAATACGGCACATCGTATTACTTCACATTTGAATTCAGCCATATAATTAGTGTGGATACATCTGCAAAACAATACACAATTTTATTAATCAATGTCCACCAAGTATATTGAGTAGATAAATAATCAATTATACACTGAGGTTATATTAACACTGTTTTGGTGTTAATATAACCTCAAACGGTGTTTTTAGAAAGTAATTTAATCAAAAAGTTTAAACTGATACCGTTTTGGTGTAATAATACACTCTGAAGGTTAATTTTTAATAAAACGGTGTAAAATAACACCTCTTCATATTCCCTACCGTTTCAAAAAGGTGTAAAAATTGAGTATTTTCTTCTTTTACACCTTTTAGTTAAAGGTTTTAAACGGTGTAAAACTGTTTTACACCTTTTTACAACATTGTAATTTCCGTTTTGAACCGTTTTACAAAACGGTGTTTTCATAAAACGGTATAAACTTTACCGGTTACAAGGTGTAAAACTGAAAGGCTGCTTATAAAACGGTGTTTTACAAAACAGTGCAAATTTGTTTAAACCCTTTTTTATTAAGCAGTTTTATATTAAAGTGTACCTTAACCCAATATAGAACAATGTTAATAAACAATTTTTTAACTACGTGCGAATTGCGTATTATAGGTACTTTGCACATATCTAAAAAAGTGCTTAATTAGCTCAAACTAAATTTCTTTGGTCAAATAAATTATTTAATTTATATGAATAGAATAATAATAAAATAATAATACTATTATAAAAAAAATAATAGAATAAGTAAAAAAATTAAGTTAAAAATGCTTGTTTTTTTAATATGCATTATTTAAACTTAAACTGTTGTATCAGGTTTAACGATTATTCCTAAAGGTATAATCTTTAAACCTGATACAACACTATCAGTTTCTTTAAAAAGGTACGCTTTATTATATTAAAAGTAATATTGGGTGGTTATATTAACTTATACAAGTTAAATATATATTATGGTGTAATATATTTTGTTTTTACAAAGAATTAATCCCTATATATAATTTGGGTATTATAATTTATAAATATTTTTTGTTAGCTAATGCTTACGAAAAATATTTATAAACTATAATAGCCAATTTTAGTACGCAATAGTTACATTTGTGTTCAAAGGTTGAACAAAAATGCAACTATTGTGTGTACAAGAGAGCAAATGAAAATTGATGAAGATGAGATGCTGCATGAGCTGGATTTTGAAACAAAACATATTTTATGTTGTTATCTAGATGGTTAGTTTTTTTAATCTATGTCAATGGTTAAAGAAAAGAAATGTTTTCATTGAGTTTATATTTTAATATATTTTTAAAATCACACTTTAAAAACGATGTTTCAAATAGTATACCAACTTTTACTTTTAAAAGAGTGTAAAGATATATTTGCCAATATGTTTTTTCAAATTTTTTACATATACTAAATACCGATTATCACATATTTTGTTAAATAATATATTATTCTGTTGATTACAATTTCTATATCAATAAATTGTTCTGAAAGTTTACTAATACTATTAGTAACAGGTATTTGAATGAAATTATAAAAATGTAGAGTATTTGAAAGTAACATTTATATTATCCAAGTTATAAGTTTCCTTTTTCTTTTACAGTTAAATTATTTTTACTGCATAACATTTTCATATTGTTACATTGAATGACAGGAAATTTATTTATGTATTTGTTTTATTTTATTAATATTAACTTTTTACTTCAATTTTCAGAATTTGTTCTATGTGTTATTGAGGGTCATACTTCTCCTGAATCACATCAATACCACATCTCCTCTCTCAAATGTAACTGAAATTCCAATTAGTAAAAAGAACTGCAATTCCTTCTTCGTTAGGATCATCTGGAAGCCGACGTAGGTAGTAAGATGATCAGGAAACAGCAAATAGAAGAAAAAAATTAAATGAGTGTTTTTTACTAATTTACTGCTTGTCTGTTCTTTAAGAACATTCAGCACTCTCTTTTTGAAATAGACTAACATAATTTGCACACACACATACATACAGCGGATCAAGTGTTTTTCGGTGTTTGAGATTTAAGAGCATCCTTATTTGATCAATTTACAAAGTAATCAGACATTTTGACTGACAGGAAATAAATTCTACAAAATAAAACATGGATAGGAATAGCCTGCAATAGAACGCTTTTGTTGACCACCCAAATGATTTTTTTTTGTTTACAAGATGATTTTTTTTGTTTACAACTTGACAATGACTGATTAGATGTTTTGATAATTTAGACGTTTCAGAAAAAACAAACTAGGAAAAAAATTTAAAAAACTAAAGAGTAAACAAAACAATTCTTTACGAAAGAGAAAATAATTTAGCTTTAAAATAAAACTAAAATAACTCGAAGTTAAAATTACTTTTTGTTACGTTTTAAATTGCATTTGAAAAAAATTATTTTAAAACTTATTTTTAAAAACGTTTAATTAAAGCAAAACACTTTTACAAATTAGTTCTATTTATTGTTTAATAAGTGAACAAATTTTATTTAAATTATTGAAAAGTAAAATTAAATTTTTGAAAAGAAAAAAATATAATATTTCAAGTTATAAATATAATTTAAGTTATAATATAAAGTTGCAAAAAAAAATTGTTTAAAACAATAATGTAATCTTTTTAAAACCGTTATTTTTAATCCTTTCGTGCTTTACTTAGTAAGTCAAGTTAAAAAAAAAAAACTTTTAAATAATTCTTTGAAAATTGAAACTAAAAAAATTGTAGAACAATTAAATCAAGTGAAGATTTAACTTATTCATTATTTAAGTAACTTAAAAAAATAATCTTTTAAAAGATTTTTTACAAAGACTGGAAAAATAGTTTCAAATAATAAAATTTATCATAAAAAAATTTATATTTACTAAAAAAAATCTAAATATAACATTTAATTTACAAATGCGTTCATTTTAAACAATCATTATAATTAATTTTTGATTTTATTTAAAGCTTTAATTTAAAAGCTGTAAAAACTTTAATAAAGATCAACGTTATTAAAAGTTATTTGTAACATAATAATTTCTTTTATTGCATTTAATTTGTTAAAACATCAAAACAACAGTTGTCAAATTGTAAAGAAAGAAAAAAAAGGATAGTCAGTTACAGCGTAAAAATTTAAGTTTATCTATAAAAACATATTTCATTGAAAAACAAAAATCTGCAATGAAATATTATAAATAAAAAGGAAAGAAACAACAACTTCACTTGATTAACATTAATAAACTGAATAACATGACAAAGATTTCGATTGCTTAACTCAAATCCATAAAACCATAAAAACATTTTGAAAATTTGATTGGACACTTTCCGACCTAAACATGTTTAGATTGGATATTTTGTCTGGGACTTAACAAAAAATTAAATTGAGCCCTGTATATATATATATATATATATATATATATATATATATATATATATATATATATATATACACTTCTTCTAACAGTAAAATATTGGAGAGAGAAGAGAAACTTCCAGATTTAACTGAAGCATAAAGAAGACCTGAAGCATAAAGAGGCTTGATTACGAAGAAAAGAAATGAAGCAACCAGTACACTTGCTGAAGACTCGCCCTTTCGATATGGAAGTTGTGAAAATCAGATCATCAAAATTAAAGCTCAACAATACTAACTCAACAAAATTATTTCAGCCAATATCTCAAAATGGACTAAAAACTTTGAAATGTAAATGTTTAAATGCAACTTCTTTAGAAAATAAATTTGATGAATTTAATGAATTAGTAGACACGCAACGCCCACAAATCATAGTTGTTAGTGAAACATGGTTCAAAAGCATCCGGGTTGCAAATCTAATTGGCTATAATCTATATAGGAGACAGAAATGATGGGCGCAGAGGAGGTAGTGTGTGTCTATATATTACTAAAACTGTTAAACCATTAGAGCTAAGTGCTGTTTTTAACTTAAGTAAAATTGAACAAACTTGAGCGCTACAGTGTATTTTGAGAAAAAACAAGTATTTAGTTAGTTGTGTCCAAAAAGGCCAAATCATTTTGTTGACATGAATGATTTTGATTTGGTTTTCAAAAAGAATAAAGACTATGTTGATAGAAAAGGATACAAAGACTATTTACAGGGGATTTTAATTTCCCATCGATTGTATGGTCAAACGGATACATCACAAACATTAAAAATGAAAATGGCATTGAACATAACTTTAGTGATACTCTATGCAAAACATATCTGTATCAGCATGTAAATGTTTCAACTTTTCAAATATTAAATAATTCTTCTACTAACATTCTTGATCTAATCTTAACAACTCAGCCGGGAAGCATCTGAGTTGTTGGTCCAAGATCTGTCCATGGTAACATAAATAAAGGTCATATGGTCATCTTTTTTGACTTCATTATTAAAAATAGGGTTATTAACTTACCGCACAGCTATTTAAAGTTTAATTACAAAAAAAAATGATATCAATAAAATCTCTGACTTAATTACAAATGTTGATTGGGTAATGCTATTTGAAACTTTATATGTTCAGGAAATGTATAACAAACTAATTAACTTTTTAAATGTATCTATTTATTCCAGTGCTGTTTAGGTATTTATAAAGAAGTTTCAGATTTGATTTGGATCTTTTAACTAAAACATTTTCATATGCAAGTCGAGCGATTTTAATTTCTTTTTAAACTAACTTGCACGTCAGTTTGTACTCTTTAACATAGTAGATCTTTTCATTTACAAGCACAGTAAATGAAAAGATCTACTATGTTAAAGAGTAGATCTTTTCATTTACTGACTTGCAAGTTAGTTAAAAAAGAAATTAAAATAGCTTGTCTTGTATATGAAAATGTTTTAGTTTAAAGATCTAAATTGAATCTGAAACTTCTGTATAAATACCTAAACAGCCAACAACTAGTCAAAGAATAAATCAGAACCTTAAAAACAGTTAATAGTGATCTAACTCAAGAACCTAGAGAAATAGCTAATCTACTCAATAAATGTTTCCAAGAAGAAGGGGAACTTTCACATTTCACATTTAAGTTTAACAAAAATCACTCAAAGTTGGTTGACCTAGATCCAAATGATATTAGATAAATTTAAAAACCTAAATCAAAAAAAGCATGTGGTCTTGATAATATGGATCTATTTCTGCCTAAAAACTTTGCTGAAGCGTTTGTTATTCCTCTTACATTATTTAGGCATCTTTAACTAATAGTCAGCTTCCAATTCAATTCAAAACACCGAACATAACGCTACTATTCAAAAAAGGTGATAAGACTCTTCCCAGGAATTATTGTCCAGTTTCATTGACTTCAGTTCCATGTAAAATTTTGGAAAGTATAATTAGATCTAAACAAATCATGTACCACTAATCTTTTAGAGAGCATTGACTAGATTTTATCAAGATTAGATGTTGGTATTCCATTTAATGTAAATTTGTTAAATTTAGCTAAAGCCTTCCACACAGTTCCACACATAAGGCTGTTAGCCAAACTGAAAGCATGCAGCTTTATGGTTTACTACTTAAAAGGATCGCAACCTTTAAAGAAAACGGAAGACAAAGAGTTGTTCATCATTTCTAACTGGGTTAAGATTTTTAGTAGTCACAAGGTTCTGTAATTGCTTTAAACTTACTTGTTTTAAACATTACCGACGTTCCAAAAAATTGCTTAATGTAACCAAACTATATGCTGATAATAAAAAAGTACTTTCTCAATTATCCTTAGAGCTATGCGCTACTAATCTTCAAAATGATCTAGATATTGTCTACAAATGGTCTCAAACTTGGCTTCTTTTGTTTAATATATCAAAATGTGTAGTTATCCATTATGGCCACAATAACAAAAACTATTTATATAATTTAAACAGTATTCAATTAACGGAGTCAGCTACAGAAAGAGATCTTGGAGTGCTTTTCAATGCAAATCTAAAATGGAAAAATCAAGTGATTAATGCTTCTAACAAAGCAAATCAAATGCTTGGTATTATTAAAATCATTTGTTTGTTTCAATTACAAGATACTTCATTAGCTTTACTTTTATTGCGCTATCACTAGAGTTTGCAGTTCCAATATGGTCTCAATTTCTTAGATCCAATTGTGACTATATTGAAAGAATCCAGCATAAAGCTACTAAACTAGTATCACCAATCAGAAATCTTTTCTATACAAAAAGGCTCAAAGAATTAAACCTAAATACACTAGGAGACAAAGAGATCTAATACAAATGTAAAAAATTATGAATAAAATTGACAAATTAGAAAAGGGAAAAGTTTATCCAATCGTAAAAACCATACGAGAGGTCACTGCTTTAAATATTTCAAGGAAATGACAAAGCATAAGCACAGAGAAAACTTCTTTAATTGAGCAGCGAATTTATGGAACTCTCTGGCAGAAGAAGTTGTTAAAACGCCTTCAGTCAACAGCTTTAAAGCATCAATCGATTTTGGCTGTCAAAGTGCACCTAATAACTCACTGGCTCTGCCAGTTACAGGGTTTACTATTAGCTAACCAAATAACTCTCTCAAGACTAGTTATTTTTATAATTTTTTAAAAAAGAGTTCTTTACATAATCAATTTTTTTGTTAACTAACCTTCTGCTCTTATATTTGTTTGATACAATAAAAGTATTTTCTCCTCATTACGTGATTTATTGATCAAAACTTATCAAGGAATATTTCATATATTTAAAAGTAGTAATCTTGTGAATTAACTTAAAATTTTTAACAAAAACAACATAACAAACATAAAAAATATTTAATTGAATTAGTTTTATAGTCCTTTCACTGCAATCATTTACTACTTCAAGATTATATACTAACTATTTAAATTTTAGGTAATTATCATTTTGGTCCCTTGTCTTGGCTGGATTCTTAAACCATGTTAACTAACTTATGTCAATAAGTGGATTCAGACTTGGTGGAGTATCATTAAACATAAGGAAATACAATACACTACACTTTTGTTTTCTTTTAATGGTATAATTTGTAAGCATTAGACTTTTGCAAAACTTCTTCGCAATGTCACTCTGTTTGTGTACATTTTATCTACCAGAGACCTTACAATACTTAGGTCTAAGTACAATGTTTGTCTCTTTTAAAAAAAGAAAGATTATTTGTCTTTCTCCTAATATAAAAAGTCAGTTAGAACCTTTTTTATTTTTGTTTTAGTAAAAAAAAATCGTTTGTTTGGTTTGTTTTAAAATGCTACAAAGTTTAACTGAAAATAAGGCGATACACATAAATGTAAGAAGTGTAAGTAAAAACATCAAGAAATCAAAAATTTTCCTATTTAAATGATTCAATTAAAGTTAATAAAGTTGTAATACTGAAATAATTTTTTAAAGTTGCTCTTGGTCTTGCGGAAAAACTGTTTTTGATTTGCTAACTTTCATGAATGTTTGGAAAAAACACTGAGTTCCACCAGTTTTTAAAAATTTTCTTTGTTAATTATTTTTAATGAATGAGTTCAATACTTTTGCAATTCTTTTGTTACATAACTCTAACTAATAATATAAAATTAAAAAAATTCAATGGTTATGTAAGTGATTTAACGTATCTAAAATATACAGTATCAAAAAAAGTTTATTTTCCTTAGCCGGTCAACTCTTCGTTTCTAATACAAACCGCTTTACTGATTCACAGAAATCAGTAATCATTTTTAGCTTGTTTTCCATGTAATGATAGTGAAAGTGACATTTTTAGCAATAAGTTTGCCCTCTTTAGCCCAAATTCAAATCATTTTATCTTATTTTGTTCATTAGATATACAGCTTTCATACAAATAGCAAATATTTGATAAAGTTGTTACGTGTGTAACGTATGTTAAAAATGAAATAGCCCATATATTATTTTTATGTTTTTATTTTCTCATTAATAACTATAATAATATAGCATTAATAAGAAAAATAATATAATATAATAAATTAGTTTTATTTTTCAATGCCTCTTTTTTAATATAAGCAAAAAAAATTGCGGCCAATTTATCAACAACAAAAAATATTTGCGTGGTCATTTAAGGCGTGTAACTGCACGTGTCTTCTGAGAAAGTCTGTTTTAACACAAAATTTGTGTTAAAAGTAAAAACTGAAGAAGATTAATTATATCTATTTTTTACAGGTTTCTTAAACAAAGGATTATTAAGACTATTTGCTTTACTTATTTGATAAATGCTCCAGCAGTGAAAAATATGTATTTCATTCATGTAATCTCTGCATGCTAGGAGAAGTAGAGATTTATCAAGATATGTGGCTAACCTAATATATGCACCTTTTTTGTTACAACCATTGACAGAAGTTGTACCAAAAATGCACTCTTTCAATATGTCAGAAATAAAAGTGTATTTTTCGGTATTTTTCCAGTACAAGAATTAAGATGAGGAATCCCAAGAAACTCAGTCTTTCCACTATCCCTAATAGAGCAACAAGTCTGTAAAGTTTTTTTTCATATTTGCTACATATTCATAGTCAGAATTATTTTCAATACTTATAAAATGACTATAAAACCAGTTCAAGTTTTTAATGATTTTTTTAATGTTTTTACATTTTTAATGTTCGTAATGTTGTTTTTGTTACAAATCTCAACTTTTTATTTACTATTTACAATATAGTTATTTCACGAGCTTACTAAATTTAAATGTATTAAACATTCTTTAATAAGATTTGATCAATAAATGAAATGAGGAAAAATCACACAATCTAACATACAAATAAAAGACTGGAAGGTCAGTTAACAAAAAAACTGATTATGTAAAGTACTCTTTTTTTTAAAATTAAAAAAATACAAAAACAACTAGTATTTTCAGAAACTAATTATACAAATTTTATAAACATATTAGCCATTTTACTAAATAGAATACAAATATAATACAAAAATGCTTAAAAAACATATTTTTTTCTTTATTACTTAAATATTGTAATAAATTATGATTAAATTGTGCTATTTCAAATATTGTAATAAATTATGGTTAAATTATGCTAATTAAACAAAGTTAGTGTTTTAGAGTTTAGGGTTTAGAGAGAGCTTTCTTAAGTAAAGTGACCCCTCTGGAGCATTGGGGAGTTGAATTAAAATAATAAAAACAACAAACAAAAAAACCACACCACAATCAAACAAATACTATAATATATATAATAAATAATTTTATAAATATATAATAATTTAATAAAATAAATTAACCTAACTTTGAGGAAATTTTTTAAAGGATAATTGGGAATAATTTAATTTTACTTAATTTTGATTTGTTTTAAAATGTTCTTATTCTTCTTTTAAACGGAAAATAAAAGAAATTATCTTTTCAACACAAAACATTTATATCTATTTTTAGTACTTTTTTTTTATTTATAATTTATTTTGTTTATTATATAGATTGTGAAGAATATTAGAATATTTTTTTATCATATAAATTATAAAGGGCCTATGATAAGAACCTGTGATCTTCTAGAAGTCCTGTTGATAATATATTTAATGTAAACTTACTTGGTACATATTCTGGCAAATAAATGAATAAAATAAAAACTATGATAAAATTTTCACATGAATAAAACAAACAAACCTTCCCATTCCTTCAAGAAGTATGAGATCCGCATTTCGCATCACTGCCGCGAGTTTTATTTCTATTCGTCTACAAGTATTAATATAAAAAAATAATATTATAAAAATACAGAATATTAATACATATATAATTATACTCGTATATACACACATATATATAAAAAACTTATATTGCATTTTTAGATAAGCAGTTTGACATCATACTGAAATAGCCAGCTGCCAGAGACTTTAGTACATAGATTGACTGACTAAATATATATGAATGTGTGTGTGCATATATGGCGTATTCCACAGTAAACTAACCTTACCTGCGCATTGAATTTATCAAATACTTTCGTATTTAAACTGTTTACTTAATTTTTAGCAATTATTTTAAAATCAGTTAGTCTGAAGAATAAATAAAGCTAAAAGGTTTAGAGTCTGACAAAAGAATAGTAAACTTAGGACTGAAAAACTGTTTAACTTACATTACATAGAAAAAAAGTGAAAAAATGTTTCAACTTTTAGATTGGATTTCCGCAAATCTTTGGATTGTATTGAAACTTTTAAAATGATGTTGTAAATTCAATACTTGATATAAAAAAAAAAGTTTAATGAGAATTTAATTAGAAAACAAAAGTGTTATTTTGACACTATATATTTAACTTAGATTATATCACTTGCATCAACATGAAATTATTAAAGAAATTTTCCACTCAAATCAACTCATATCTCTTACAAAAATTTACAGAAAATTAGTTTATTGCTTGTGGCAGATAATAGAGTAACCAGAGCCATATAAGGTCATTAGTAAGTTTAATAATTTTAATTTTTAAAAAAGCTTAAAAATTATAAAAACATCAAAATACAGGGAGAAATATTTTGCGCATGTTTTGTGAATGTGATACTTATGCTAATAATATGCTCAAGTAATTAGTCTTAATAAGCCATAAATAGTCTGAAAAAAAAACTATGATCTTAAACTGAATAAAAAAATTCAACAAGAAAAGTCCTGCTACTCCAGAAGATACTGCTGTGTTAAAGGGCTAATTTAAACCCGCACAAAACAACACAGATTACAGCACATTAAACCACTGATCACATGTGATCACACACAAGTCTGTTTTTTTTAACTGTTTTGTTTAGAATTTGTGTATTTATGTTATTGTATTTAAAAAATTGACAAGATTGAAAATATACAAAACATGTTGTCTTATCAAAGTGCAAAATTTGAAACTTTGATTTTAGATTTGTCACGACTCTCCTCTCTCTTGATAATGTTTGTTTGTTTTTTACGTCATTAATTACGTCATTTTCTTAGTTCTGCAATTTGTATAGCGTTAGGTAAAATGTCTTTAAGTGTAAACATCTTTTACATAAGTTGAGTTTGCTGGGGGTATATTGAAAACTCGTGCATATTTTATATGTTATATGAGAAAACTTTAAAATTTTATTTTAACAATCAGAATTTTTTTTTGCTATTTATAAATTTTTTGCCATAAATATATACAGCAAGATTAAAAAAATTTAAAACTTTATTATGCTTCAGGGAGGACTTGAACCCCAGAAACACAACTGATGACAGCGTACTAAACCACTTAGCTCACAAAGCAATCTTTTTTTACTATATTTTTACTAAAAAATATTAAAGTAAATGAAGAATAAGTATAGAAATAATCGGTGTGAAGTAGGTAAGTACAGAAATTGTTAGCTTGGGGAAGGCCTGTATTTTATGGGTCCAGATGCTAGGATATATAAATAAATAAAAAGTATAGAAAAACTCAGTGTGGAATAGACTTACAAAGACCTATTATTTTATGGGTCTTTGTAATATTGTATTATGGGACTGTCCTTAGGCTGATGTCTATTGTCTCTCTGCTGATAAATACTCCTCCTACATAAGAAGCTTGGTCTGGAAGCAAGTGCAATAGCACTCTATTCTTGACCACACAGATTACATTTAGTTGCAACAACTTGGCAAAGGGTTTTTAGATATTCTGAGAACATTTAAATTTATGTATGTTTCCATGTATGCCCGAAACTTTTTGACACACTAAAACAATTCAATATATAAATAATTTTGTAATCAAATGTTTTAATATCAGCAAAGCGTTTTTAAACTAAGCAATGATTTACTTTTATTAATAAATTATAAAAAAAAAAACTAATTTTTTAAATTAGGGAAAGTAGAGGCATAACCGCCCCTGTAACGTTTGGATAATGAGGATATAACATCATACAAAAATAAAAGGGAAATGTGTCTTTTTGATAGTTCATTTCAATAAAACTTTAAATTGCTGTAATTAGGAAAAAAAAGCCCCCAATGTAAGGCACAACCACACCCTCACAAAAATCGTTAAAGGTACACATTTCATGATAAATTTTTTTAAAAATTAGGAAACGCACAATTATATATTTACAATATATAATAGTATAACAATCATCAGATATACATAAATATAACAAGATATCGATTTATACTCTTAGCTTTATATATTAATCTAAAACTCATAAGAATTAAATAAAAAAGTACAAAATCAAATTTCCAACATCTCAAAACAAAACTATTTCTATTCCAGTTTTTACATGGACGCATTCAAGTGAGATGATTGTATATATTGTTATTCGTAATTTTGATAAATATCAAAAGTATGCAGTTGGGCCTCCTGTGCGTCTAGGGTTGGGAATACCGGACTAAAAATTAAACACCGGTATTTCGGTATTGAAAATTTCTAATCCTAGGATTCTGGAATTAATACGGGTATTAATACCAGAATCCCATTTAATTTTCCTATAATAATATGAATTAATAAATAATATAATTAAAAAATGGTTTAGCAATTAAAAAAAACTATATTAACTTATATAAAGAATAAAAAAAAAAAGAAAAATAAAATTCAGTAAAATGCTAGTTATATATTAATCATAAGAAAAGGAAGAAAACAAATTCTTAGGGTTCTACTTTTTCTACAGTTGGTTGTTGATATAAGACCTCAGAAATCATAGATTGATAAACAAATTATCTCCCATCCTTGACCAAATTCTGGTGCAGATTAAGCCAGCTACCAAAAAAGCTCTCTCTGATTTTACACTGGTAGGTTGAATACTTAGCTAATAATTATATATTAAAGTTAAGTATTTGCCCCTTATGCCATTTGTCTCAAAAAATGACATTTCTTTTTTTATTGAGTGTGTGAGATCTTTTTTATTTTGGTCAATTCCACTGTCAGGTAATCTGGTGCAAATTTTTTTGCCATCTCCAACTTTTCTTTTTAAGTCAGAGAAATTCATTTCTTTGATCAACTTCATCATCATCGACATTGAATAATATATTTGTGTCTGAATTTGAAATGTTGGCTGAAGTAGATGTTGTTGCTACAGGTGCAGCTTCATAATGCAAGTTGGCCACACCCAGACATTGTATCTGTAAAACGGTAAGATTGCAGCTTTGATCAGAAATAAATCATAATCTCTATCGGTATCATCATTGCTTGGATTTTCCTTGGAATCTGCATTGTGTAAATATTGCAAAACAACTGAAATTTCTGTTCGCCTTTCAAGAACACGTTCTTTGAAAGCTGCTTTCAAACTTAATGAACACGGATGGCCAGTTATTGATTTCATCATAAATTGAATAGCAGCATAACAAAGTGCAGACAACAAAGTTGCATCTTGTCGACAGATTGCTTCAATTGTAAGCCTAATAGGATGTAAAACTGAAAGGATATTTGACAACATTTCAAACTCTGCATCTGAAAACAAAATAGGTGATTTTAAATCTATTAGACTCTTTTTAATGCAATTTTTAGATTTGACAAAACGTTATATCATAGACACCAAACTATTCTATCATGTTTTTGAGTCTAAAATCAGAGACAATTCTTTCCCGACTTTTTTGTAGGCGAAGAACGAAATATTTTGACCACTTTTCAAACATTTTTATTTAATGGTAACGCTTGCTGATGTACCAGAAAAGAAGAATTGTCATCATCGTTTTCAGTGGAGATTATGAGTAAACCATTTTCATAATCTTCATCAATTAATTCATCGTCATCTGTGGAATTCTGCTCTTTTTCAAATCTGGGTGTAGGAACTGATGTAGTGTTGGCATCTTCTTCATTATGAAGACTATCCTCATTATTAGGTTTTTTGTAGAGTACCCCGATAACAGCCAACTGAATTCCATGCGCTAAACACGCTGATGTGCTTCAATTAACCTGCCTACCTTTGTCATAACTGCAGCGCCGTCAGTGGTAATACATACAATATTCTTGATCGAAAGCTTAAAATCACCTAACCTATAATTAACAAGCTCAACACATTTTTCTGCAGGAATTGTTCCAAAAGCACAAATTAATTCTATATTCCAAAATCCTTTATCAGAGTGGACATAAATATTTATGTAACGTCTATTTCTTATCGATGTCCATTCATCAAAAGTTAGAGAAAATCCATTAGCAATCCATTAGTTTCCATTAGCAATTCTGCTCTATAATTTTAAAATTACTTCGTCTCGTATTTTTTTACTGCAATTCAAGACCATTTTGTGAATTGTTTTGTGATCTTTTGGTATGTTAGAAAAGGCTCTGGCTGTTAAGCCTTTTCTGATATCATATGATGTGCAGATAATGTTGAATGATAAACCGCCACACGCAATCATCCTAACTAAAATAGCTAGCAATGAATTATCCATTTTATCACTTTTAAAAAAGTTGTTTATAGTGACAGAAGGTTTTAATGTTTGTACAAATTCTGAAGAATCTAAAACGAATCTTTTCAACAAATTGATTTTATGAATTGTTTTTAAATGGTTATGAAGACCGCTTGTAGAACCTCCATGCGTTTTTATTATTCTCTTACACAATTTGCATTTAGCACACTGTCCCGCTTTTTCTCTTACAAAATAAAACCATGGTGAATTTTTATGCGGTTATGCCCCACTTCCCAGGCCTTGTTAAGAAGCGTTTTTCCTATTTGAATTTTACGTACGTATTCACGATTTCACATACGTGTTTTGCAATTTACATTACGCAAAAAATTTTTACAATAAGTCTATTTTAAATATTCTTTTAAAACACTTTATGCAGAAAACATTAAAATGTAATTAATTGTTATAAAATAACATTTGTGGAATATTTTTTTTATTAGATAAAAAAAAAACAGATAGATATCCTTTTTTCTATTTCCTGTTTTTAAAAAAATATATTTTTAATTCATTTTATCAAATTTAAATTAATTTTATTATTAAATCTTTGTCAATCTTTTAATTTAATTTAAGTTTTAATTTTTGTTTTAAGTTTTGATATAATTGATTACTGAATAAATAATCTTAAATTTTATTTTTTCATATATAGTCATTTTATACAGATATACATTTTCGAGAAAAAGATGAAAAGAATAATAAAACTTTTAGCGATAACAGATCTACTTCATATACTACTTGGCACAACTGGTCAGTTAATTTTAGTAAACTTAAATATTCTATTAATGATTATTCTTATTTCAGTATTGCATAATTATGGCATAACATGCAGGTCTATAAGCCTTTATGATGGTATATATACAACGCTTATAAGAAAGTTTAAAAAAAAAGAAAAAAGAAATAGTTTTACAGCAAATCTAAACATGCAGAGCTGGAGCCAGTTTCCATTATACAAAGCATCTCATCTGACAATGCATTCCTAAATAAAATAAAAAATCATTTAACAAAATAAGAGAATTATACAAGAGGATTTAAACCTCAAATTAAAAAATAAAATACCCCATGTTTTCTAAAGTAAAATTTTGTATTAACTAATCTCTTTATAACAAACTAAATTAGCAAAACACAAACCTTATTATAGGACACATTTCTGCTACACGTTCACAAACAATAATTAGCTCACTATAAATGACATCATTGATAGCTGGATAAGAGTTTGCAGCAAGTACAACCTTAGAGACAAATTAAACAACTCGCTTAACATTTATGTCCCAAAACATTAGACATATATTATTTACAAGCTTTTAATGTAAGCAGCTGTATGAGAAATACACTTGTAACTTAATGCATATAATGTTATTAAGTAAGTTTACTTACTCAATAACATTATATGCATGACACAAAATAACATATCTAACATAACAAATGCATAACATTAAACAGAGAGATGACAGTTGAACACATGGAGCCTAAGATTGCATATAATTGTACCTTGGTTCCACGTTTTAAAAGCTCACGCACGAAAGGTATAACACCCAATAATATATCCACACCACTGTTATCAGTAAAAATTATGGCCAGTTTATGAGGTTCTTCTTTAAAACGCGATAACCAAGAATCAACATCATCAGTTAACCAAGGTCTTTCTAAATTTTAAAAGTTGCATTAGCTATTGAAACGGAAAATTTAAAATGGTTTTCAGAATTACTTACTTTGGATTTTTTCCCTGGCTTGTTTTAAACCAAATAAAGGATTTTCCAAATGCCTATAACCAACAATTTGTAAAAAGATAATAAATACCATTAGATCAATAACCTACAAATTATTAAACTTATTATACAATTAATATTATTTTATACTCAAATTTTTATTATCAAACAAACTATTAGTAACCAGTACCTAACAAATTATTAGTAAACAGTACCTAAGGAAGTATTTTAATAAAAAAACAAATTAAACCATTTTAACCACATTTTAAACCACAGGATAAACTATTTTAAGAAATAATTTGAATATAAAAAAGATTTTTAAAAACAAATCTGCTGTAATATTAGTGACTACAAATTAAAATTTTTAAAATATATTTTTAATTCTGATTCACTCTCAACAAGGCTGCAAGCAACCACTATTAAGTTAAAAGTTATAAGAAAAAAAATTAGAATTATAGAGCAAGGAAATGGTCAACAGAAGACTTGAAAAGTTGTAGGTTGTATGAATCACAAAAACATCAAGTCGTGGGAGAGTTCCAAAAGGTGTGGGAAAAAAAAAACTAGGCAAATAAAAGTTTTTAGAGCATGCAGGAACAGATACAGTAAAGGAGTAAGACTTTGCTGAATGACAAGTCAATTATATAGTCTAGCAAGAATGAGTTTTAGTTGATGGAACTAGAAATAGGAGCTTCTTTGAGCAGCAACCATGATAGTATATGTGGAAAAGAGAAAGAAATTTACTTTCTTTACAACTTTAGTAAATGGTAATCCAAGAAGACATAAACAAGAGGACTCAGTGTGAGGGTTGGCATTCATTAATATAGAAATGTTGATAGTATTGCAATAGTTCTTTACAGTAAATAACTGAGTTTTGTTGGAGCTAAAATTTACAAGCCACTGTTAGTCCCAATCAGTTACAGAAGTGAGATCAGATTTTTATTAGTATTTTATTCTCTTTTTGTTCTAAGAGAACAAAAAGAGAAGACTTTTTATTTAACATAAAAATGTTCAAGTATAAAGTTGACAGGAATAAAAAAACAGGAGTATAAAGTTGAGTCATCAGCAAATAGAGCCACTTTAGATGTAAGGTTGTCAGGAAGATCATTAATGTTGATAAGAAACAAATCAAAACCAAAGATAGAACCTTGAGGTACCCTAAAAGTTACTGGCATAGATCATCCTTGTCATATTTTAAAAATCCGGAAAATTGTTTGGATAAAATATCCGCAAAAAATCCGGAATTTGTTTTCCCTTATTTTCTTTTTAATTTCGCTTTTAGCTAAGTTGTTTTTACTTTTTTTTGACACTTTTCATAATTTTTCTATGATTGATGAGTGAAAAAGCTTAAAAAACAAATATATTACAAAAATATATACCTCAACTTGCATGTATTGAAAATGTTTTAAATATCCGGAAAAACTAATAATTGAAAAAAATATCCAGAATTCCGGAAATATCCGTAAAAAGATAATCCCTGTACTGGAAATAAAGAAGAGAATCAGGCTTTGAGGATGACTTCAATAAAGCGGTTAGTAAGAAAAAAAATTTAATAATCTTAAAAACTTTCCCAAATAAACCATATGAAACAAGCTTATGAAATAGACTAGCATGACAAACTTTGTTGAAAGCTTTAAATATGTCAAGAGCAATAGCTCTAGCCTCTCTGCCTTCCCCTAATATACAATAAAATCTTTCAGTCACAGCAGTGAGCAAGTCAGCAATAGAGCGAATGGATCCAAAACCATTTTAATTGTCTGACAGTAAGTTAATTGACTCAAAAAGTGGGAAATTTGTTTATCAAAGACTCAAACCTAAAAAAAAAAATTGGACAATAACAATTAGAGGGGTCAGTATGTTCACCTGAAGTTTAAAAATTTGGAACAACAGATGTCATAGTCCAGCAGGCAGGAAAACTAGACTCAGACAAATACTTATAATATAGTTTAGAGAGAATTGAAGAGAGTTCTAAAGAACAATTTAGTAAGACTATGACAGAAATGTTGTCAGAACCACAAGCAGTAGAAAAGTTGAATTGCGATATGACTTTAGCAACGAAAGCTGGAGTGATTTGAATGTCTAACAATGGGTTAATTTGTATAATTAAAATAAAAGGATAAGAATATAATAATAGAATAGAATAAGTGAAAACTATGGAGTAGAATGAGGCTTGACTTAGAACTGAAAAGAAGGAATAAAAGTTTTTATTCTTGCCTGAATCCAGGAGGATATGTAGGAAGTGTATTTATCAGTTGAGAGAGAAGTCATCAGCCTAAAGACTATCACAAAGAAAATCACCAAAAGAATTCCAGTCAGTTTTAGGATAGTAGTAAGTAGTGTGATAATTAGGTGAGTCAGAAAAAAAAGTACAAAATAAAAGATTTAAAAGAGACCATTGCATGGTCAGAACCACCTTAGGGAGAAAAAGAAGAAACTTAACACAAGCTAGGGTCAGAGACCAGACATAAATCAAGGAGTTAAGGTAAAGGATTATGGATGTCATAAAATTAACTATTTGAGTAAGAGATTGAGAAACATAGAAGATGCTTTGCCAGCAGAGTCAGTGGCATTAGAGCCAAACCATTTGTGTGATAAGCATTTAAGTCACCAATGATAATAATATTGGCAGAGGGGTAAAGAAAAAGGGCATGATCAATTGTATTAAAAATTCCATCTAAAAAGTGTAGACTTGGAAGAAGGAGAACAATAAAAAAAAAAGAGAAAGGTGATAGGGATAGGAGCTATTAAGCGGAAGCATATAAACGAATGGTCAAAGAATTCGAACCTGATTTCACAACAAATAAGTGAATTGATGCGAATGTATAACATTAAGCCAAGCATGTGACTATTGGAGTCTTTGCGAATCAAATGATAGTATCAATCAACACTGAGAACTGAATAAGGAATAGGGGAAAGGTTACAAAATTACTTATTTTTTATTTTGGTAATATGTATATAAAGATTAGAAATTTTTACGTTTTATAGCTTTTTTTATTTTTAATATCAAAGCTTGGACTGTTACATGACAAAGAATTATGGTAAGATATCATGAAAATAAGTTTCATACTTATAGCAACAATTTGCTTAATAGACTTCTCCAATTTATTTCTTTAATTGATCTGGTAATTAATTACTTTTTTCTCTAGTTGATACTGTATATCTGTGATTAATAACTGTTAGCCTAGAGAGTCAAAAATCACATTTGTAAATAAATAAGAAATTCCATATAAAACAATAAACATTAATAAAGCTCAATCAAAATGGTCAATTATTTATTGCACTATATTTGTAAAACTAAACTTTCTTGCATTTAGTATGAATATTCAGCAAAATCTTTATAAAAACTTGTTAAAATATATTTTTTTAAATGCTTTTTTACTAGAACAATAGAAGATTTTTTACTTTTATAATTTTAATTTTGTTATATACAATATTTGCACACTTTAAGCAAAAGATTTACTTTTTTAACATTTGAGTCAATTATAAACACATTATCTGCTTAGACTAACATACCAATTTTTAATTTTTTTTATACAAAGTGATGCTTTTCTACTTGTTTGAAAAGTCCTCACTATAGGCCTTAAACCAGAGGATTTTGAGTCAACGCTGACCTAAATGTGTTTGAGTGTGAGTTTGAGTGTTAAATTGTTAACAAAAGAACAAGAGGAGGAAATATAAAGTTAAATGGAAAGGTTATCTATCCAGCCAAAATATTTGGGAGCCAGAAGAGAGCATTTTTGATTCCAAAGTAATCCAGAAATACCTCAATGGTAATAAAACTAGCAAAAGTCTCAGTTCTAACCATGACATGTCTGCACATTAGGGTGTGTCATACTTTTTTTTTTTTCCAGGTTGAAAACCCTGTATTCTAAAAACTCGTATTTATATATAATTTTACTAAAAAAAGCTTAGATTTAAAAATCTGAAATGATTTAGCTACCGGGAATCGATATTTATTATTCACTTAAAATTTCTTACTAGAATAGCAAATTTTGCTTAAGGTTGTATATTTTCATCGGCTTAAATTTTAATTTTTTTTAATTTTTTAAAATTATTATTATTAAAATGTTTATAATAGTTTTACTTTATAATCATTTTTCTATCATTTAGTTTTATATTTAATAAAAATAGATTTTTTTTTAATATTTTTATTTTTTGACAAAATAAAAAAAGAAATTTACATTTCTTTTTTTTGTCTTTAAAATTAAATCTTTCTTTGACCGATTAGTAGACATCAATTCTCTCGACAAGTTCTGCCCTCTTATAAAACCATCTTTTTTTTCTTGAGAATAAACTTTGCTTGCTGCTTCTGTTACCTGTTTAACTCGTCTTTCAATTGACTGTTCATGACAAGGCCAATTTGGAACAATCATAGGCTGAAATATCTGTTTTATATCTTCTTCTGTTGTCAGATCACAACTCAGGTTGTTTAAGGCCAGTCCAAAAAGTTCGACTTACCTTCTAGACATTTCTTTTAAATAATTTTTTTTTTGAAAAGTTGTTGTCTTAACTGAATAACACTTAGCAAAAGTTGTGCAAAGTTAAAAAAACTATTATTGACGACAATATGGAGGTTGACTTAAATTATCCTTTAACTAAATGATGAATATATGATAAAATAAGCAATTAAATTGTTAGTAACAACTTTTCTAGTTATATGCGACCTAAACAACATTGTATTCTACCATTAATCCATAATTTTATCTAGAAGGTCAGGCAGAAAATCCGACGTTTTGTCATTTCTTACAACGAAAAACTCTTAAATGTCGGGAATTCGGTAATACTTAACGGTTTGTATTTAATGGCTTTTTGATGGGTCGTAACAACAGAATTAATTTGTCAGGTAGATTAATAATTCGTAATATTTAAGATTTGAACAATAAATAATATGGTTTGTTATGAATTCATTGAATTATATGATAATTCATAGCATGTTATGAGCTCATGATATATATTTGAAAAATTAATAATTGCTGAAAAAACATTCTTGTCGGGTTTTAAGTCTAGAAGTCACCACTATATTGTAAAACAACGTTTTAAAATCATCCCACGAGAACTG